GCATCCCGGGACACCCCCGGGGAGCGGTGCCGGCATCCCGGGACACCCCCGGGGAGCGGTGCCGGCATCCCGGGACACCCCCGGGGAGCGGTGCCCACCCCGCGGCCCCGCGCCCGCCCTCCCCGGGTCTCTATGCAAGCGGGCGGCGGTGCGGGGCCGTCCCGCCCGGAGAGTTGCACATGGAACTGGGACTGTGACCCGGACGGTGCTGCCAGGCACGGGGCGCCGGGCAGCGCTGCCGATATCCCTGGAATAATGCTCTATTTTGTTTACCTGCTGTATCGGATGGGAGTTTGCAGGAGAGCGGTAGCGTGGTGGGTTTCTCCTGGTTTTTGTTTTATTTGTTTTTGGTTTATTTTTTTTTTTTAAATCAGCTGTGAAAATGTTACAAATCTGCACAATTTTTGAGGCGTGCGTGTGTGTGTGATTTCGTTGTGGTTTTGGTTTTTCCTTTGGCGGGTGGGAGCGATGGTGCTTTTTGTGCCGAGGGGTTTTGGGTTTGGGTTGGCAATAACTGATTTTGATGACTAGCTCTCTCAAGTGCAAAGACTTCCTATGAGTGATGCAGGGCCAACAGCAGCCCTGTGTCTGCAGAGTGCCTTCAAAACTCAGCTGTTCCAGCCGGTGCCAACCTGTGAAAGCTCCACAGAATCCCATTATCTACTACTCCAAAAACTACTTAACAGTTTCCTTGCAGTAATCACACCGAGCAAGGCAGGACAAAAGGGCCTATTGTTAGTGGAATTTATTTCCTATTTCCATCTGAGCCTTTTAACTGTTATTTCCATGTCTTGCAAGTTCGGACTTCATTTACTTCAAATTTACACGAATTTAGCCTTTTGGGATTTTGAGGGGGGGGGGCTTTTTTTGTTGTTGTTGTTCTTTTTCCCTTTGATTTTGTCATGGGATGTACCTCCAGCCAGCAAAGAAGGAAATCTTATCGTTGTGATGTACCAAGAAAATTCTAACAACTGTCATTTTAATTGCAGACATGCATTGAAGAGATGTCTATCCATTTTAATACAAATCCTGTTTTTTAGAAAACAACTTTGTGCACTGTTATGTATCACACGAAACACTGACTTTCTCACAGGCCTTTATATCTCAGTGGCAGTGAAAGGTGGGGGGTTGATTTAGCTAAGGACAGTGTTTAAAAAACATGCAAAACAGAAGATTGCTGTTTTACCTAACATTTAGTCATTTTGCTTGCCCTCAGGTCCTGGCCCAGTGTGATGCCAGCTTGTGAGAGGAAGGCTGTGCTCAGAGGAAGCTTTAGGAAGGTAGCGTGCCCTTAATGCAACAGCCCTTGTAAGGTTAGGCCCTTGTTCCTTTCTAGAAGCAAGGTGGTTTATTGGGGTGAAATTCTAAAGGTCAATTATTTATGAAATTTAAGCTTTTAATTTCGTTGCATTATCACCCTTTAAAATTATAAATTGTATCTTTATTTGTTTCCTGGTTTGCTGAGGGTTGGGTTGGGAGGAGATCTGTGCCTCCCCTCAGCTGGAAGATTCAAGGAGTGTGTTTACCCCCATTATCTTCCTCTTTGCCTCTTCTTTAAAGGTTTGCACATGAAACCTGGGACTCTTTTGTTTCCTTTTTTTTTTTGCCCCCATCCCAAGAAGACTTGAAGTTGTCTTACATCACAAAAACAAAGGTTGAGCAATGCTGTGTAAAAGGGGTTTTAATCAAGCCAACAGAAAACTAACTACCATGATTCCTCTGTAAATCTGGTCATTTTAAGTAGGAAAACTTTGTGCCTCAGCACTGGAAGAACAATGTGTGGTGTTAGTTTATGTATTGAAATCCCAGTGATTGAAATGAATATTGTAATTTGTGCTGTAGTCAGAATTGGACACTTTTTGTGGCAATGTCAAATATCTACTGAAAATTTGGAATACCTACATACTGAAAACATGTGTCTCCTCCTGAGCTCCGTGTGTCCCCCCACAAGGACCTGCTCTGATCCCATCCCTGGGGCTGTGTCAGTCTCACTGGTAACAATCCCAGCCCAAACTGAGGGCTGGAGGAGGCAGCCCTGGTGCTGGTCCCTCACTGCTGCCTCTGCCTTGTAACAGAAATATTGATCCAGCCCCCATTTTTAAGTGAAAATCAAAAACCTCGTTCCAGAAATTCCTAAAAATGAATTGGAAGCCAGAGGACTCCCGTGTTGGGAGAGCAGGGGAATAACTCTTCTTGGCAGGGGCTTCTCTTAACCCAAGTACTGCATTGGAAGCTAAGGAAGCTTGACTGCTGCCACATCTGCAGCTTAAAAACTGCATGTCTGAAGTTTTAGATAAAAATGCCATAAATGCACATCTCAGCTACTGCCATGGTTCAGTTTTGCCTTAAATTCCATGGGAATGTAGGGCTTCTAGCGCCCAGCAGGCCTTGCTCTAGGTCAGTGTATGGACAGCAGCTTGTTCTGGTTGATAAAAGCAGGTATTTTTTATGTCCTCCCCAAGGACCAGCAGATCCCTCATGTTCTCCAGTGCCTCTGTGTCCCCACTGCCTGTGCTGTCATTGAGGACAAGGCAAAAACGGGTGTTTGTAGCACACAAAGTCCGGCTTTGCTGAGCCTGGCAGAGCAGCTGAGGGCAGCCTGTTGAGCTCTACCTTTTGCTGGGCCTTTGGTACGTTCTGGTTCTGGCCCAAAAGGTGTGTGTGTTAACCAGTGAAGCATTTAAGCAGCCATGGCATGGTCTGATCAGGGGTTTAAATGTATTTGGCTGTTTAATGTTCTATAAGATTGGTGAGGACAGTACAAAGTGTAGAGCTCAGT